ATTCTGGGAGTTGAAGTCCACGCTTCTTAAAGTTACCAAGGTTGAAGTCCATGCATCTTAAAGTTGCCAAGGTTGAGAAACACTGAATGACTACTATAATAAGAGACAGCAAATAAGAAAATGATAAGGCACACAGAGCAATAACTAGGTGATTCAAACATCCTATATTTGCATATTAAACATGTCTATAAAGTTAGTGAGATCTCTAGGTCCAAAACAGTGATCTGTGAGGGGCAATTTTAAACAAATCTAATATATCATTTATTACAGACCGAGCTTTGTCAATCAATTCATTGCAGCACATATGGCAGGAGAGTTGAGATCAACGTTAGAAGTATGGATTTAGATCCGAGAAATATATATATACTTTTTTTTTTATGGATCAAAATGTTTTTTGTGCAATGACTCTAACGTTTATTTATTCATTCAATTTCTATAGCCGCCCCTCTCACCTGTCGGTGACTCTAGGCAGATGGCAATAAAGTAAATCAAATACACAATATAAAAAATAAAAATAAGAGTCATAGCAGCCGGGCATTATCCAACTCATCATTTACCCAACCAGGTTGTCTGATTATTATTAGACAATAATAGGGTTATTGTCTAAACATGGACTACGCTCCTTCAAAATATACTTAAACAGGATTTGCATCACCCAGTAAGCTACAAAAACTAACCAAGATTAAAACTAACCAGGCTTTGCATGTTTGTAAGTGCAACAGTGGTAATTAACCAAGTTAAGGGAATTGGATAAACATAGTCCAGGCAAAATGTATTTGGGGATGTCCGCGAAACTTCGATTTGTAGTAACCTTTAGAAAGTTTCCAACTTGCAATAATTTAAAAGATGGCAAACGGGGCAGCATTCCCCCCACCCCCCGCAAATAAATATATATAATTAGCATTTTACTCCCCCATTCTCAGAACTGTGTGGTGCTTGTTTGTGGTTGACTATTTCTAGTAAGGAAACAAAACAGCTCACAGCCAGCCCTTTTGTGCCAAATAATAGAGTCATTTTTTGCCATCTATACGCAGAGACTAAAAATTAGCATTTTACTCCCCCGTTCTCAAAACTGTACTGTCTTGTTTGTGGTCGATGGGTTCTAGTAAGAAGGTAAAACATCACTCCCAGCTTTACTATACAGAACAATACGGTCATTTTTTGCCATAAAAGGCGTGCCAATTTTACATTTCAAATGTGATGCTCTAGAACGGCAGGTCCTCGAACCTTTTGACCTCAGGACCCCTTTGCATTCTTAAAAATGACGGAGGACCCCAAAGCGCTTTGGTGGATATGGGTTAAATCTATCAATATGTACTGTATTAGAAATTAAACCTGAGAAATGTTAAAAAATTTATTTATTTGATTTTGAGGACCCGCAAAAGGGTCTCCAGGACCCCCGGGGACCCCAGACTGTACTTTGAGAACCGCTGGTCTAGACAAAATCTCAACTTGTGGAAATTGGTGCCCCCTGGAGGCCATAAACACATTTACAACCATATTTTTTTTCCTCCCCATTGGTAGAATCTCCCAGGGATCAAGAACGTATCAAGGGCTGTGGCCAGCTTTCCCACTGCCAGGAGACTCTGGGCTTCCACAATCACAAGAGTTTCCACATGATCAAGTGTTGTAACTCCAGCTGGTGTAACAATGATATGCAAGGTAAGTTATCATAGCATTGTGGAGTCCTTGGTGCTCTCTGAGCTTGGTGGTTTGCTTGCAGATGTTTCATGACCCAACTAGGTAACATCATCATGCTAGTCGGGTAATGAAACGTCTGCAAGCAAACCACCAAGCTCAGAGAGCACCAAGGACTCCACAGTTCAACCCTGAGCTACAGAGATTCTCTTCTATTGGTATCATAGCATCATTTTAGAGTCATCAAAGAGGTCTGCAGAAAGAGAGAATGGCACATCTTCACCAGATCAATTCGTTTGATGACCTTTGGGCATCCTCAGTTCTCATTCATCTGCTTTGGGCTGGGCTTAGCCCCTTCTTGGCATGAAAGCTATGATGAGGTCACACATAATGGCATCATTTGCATGATGACATCTTCACGTGCCTGATGTCAGACACATACACACACAATCCTGTAGACATCCATGCCTTTTCATGCATGCTTTTAAAAACATTTTGTATTTTGAATTTCCCTGGTCACACCAGCTCCTCCTTTCTCGCTAGATCTTTCGGGGCATACAGACACTGAGCACATTATTGGAAGCTATGCTCAGAAAAACCAGAATTACTATGAGTGTCCTCCAAGGGTGGAGAGTCAGGGGGTCTCCAGAGGTGGTCCAACTACAACTCCCAAGCATCCCAGCTAATGGCAAGGGATTGTGGGGGATGTCATCCAGCAAGACCTAGAGGGCCAAAGAGGCCACATACCTGAAGATAAAAGTTTCACCAGGACTGCTACAAATACAATCATTTGCACCAGTCTGATGCACTAAAATTCATCAGGACTTCCAGAAGTTAAATATTAAACACTACATTTTGCATACTGATAGTTTTGCTAACCATCTCCTTAGAGTTGGAAAAGCTAGAATATTCTGGATCCCAACTGAGATCCATCTAAAAGTGAAGCGGAGTGGGAGGGGGGATTCTGGAGCCAAAGAGGAAGAATGGAACTCTCTGACCGGGGGCAGGGGGAAATAAGAAGGGATGTTTGCAAAATATTGCAAAACAGCAGCTGATGGACATTCCTTTTTTTAATCTTCTAAATGGGTAGCCACTACCTCCTGGATTCAAGATACAGTTAGAAAGGAGGTCAAGAAGGCCCTGCTTTAATGTATTCACTCATAAATGAGGGTTTACGTGCACATATTCAGTTTCCAAGACTCTGTATCCGAATCCTTTTTCCTTTCAATAAACCTGACTCTATGAAACTCTCGCTTTCTTGCTGTAAGCGACTGCTCAGCGCTTGACAAGGAAGGCTGAAACAAACTGGGAGTTTGGGTGAACGCCCAGCCACACATTGCCCCTCCTGGCTACAACATGTTTTTATCCTGAAGTGTCAGTGCTATCAAGAAAGCAAACCATGTTAATAGTGGATTCTGGGACAGAAAGAGCAGACCCCACTTGGCCTTCTAGGAGTCTGTGAAGACTCAGCTCTTCTCCCAGATGTGAGGTGAGGATGCTTGATAAGCCCAAAATAATGTGCCTTTTGTGCTGTGAGTTGTTAGATTGTACCTTGGTTTCTGTGTTAGGATTATTTTAATTCCGTTCTTTGTTTATAGAGATTTTATTATTGGGGGGAGGGGGGTTGGTCGTAGCTGCCCAGAGTTATTCTGTAAGATGGGCAGTTATATAAATGTTCTAAATAATAAATAAATAAGAACCAGTTGCTTAGTCGTGTGGGTAACCTGCTAATTCATCTCCATTAAACTGCCCTGACATATTACTGTATTCTATGATGGGATTTGTAGTTTTGGGTTTGTGTGCGGTATGAACCCCTCTGTGATGTTTTATGACTATGGTTTATAGCTTACTGTCTTGTCTTCAGCCAGCCTGTTATGGCTTATTCCATTATCATGGGTAAACAACCCTTTGCTTAATGCAATGGGGGAGCCAATTCACAGAGTTTACTTCTATTTGCAGATTACAAGAAGGATCCCTTGCCCTTGAATGGGGTCACGTGCCACAGCTGCGAAGGAAACACAACCCACGGTTGTGCCACAGATAACATTGCAAAGATGCAATGCCGAGGCCCTATGACAAGCTGCCTGGAAGCCTCAGGAATCCATGGTGAGTGACTTCTGACAAATTCCTCTTGCTTCCTTTCTATCACAGCTAAGTGTTGATCTGCAGGGTGAGAGCAAGGAGAAAGGTAGAACAGCTTTAGAAATATATTCAGAGAAAGTAGGAGCCCACATTAAATGGGCTTAGTGCACTAAGAGTTCCACACTGGCTTCAGAGTTGGGTGGAAGCTCCATCCTCCAGAGGGATCCAGACCCTTGTGGGCCATCTCCAAGAGGATGAAGAGAACTTCTGAATCTGTCAATTTATCAGAATGGTATATACAGTCCACCTTCCCTTCAGCTCTCAGAGCAGAGAGATGTGGCTGTTACATTATATCAAACCCCCATGTATGGGGTTTGACAGTCATTTACCGTTCTGATAGCTTCCATATATCCATTCCCACAAGCATTGAACATGCTGTATATAGTCACCTGAAGAGTAAAGGTTCATCAGTTCAGTTCAGGAGTTTAAAACCCCTAGAATAACATCTGGGTACCTACATCTGAGAAGTCCCAAATTGGATGAAACTGGTTATGTAGTATCTGCCTCCTGGTGATCAGTATAACTGGAAAGCAGAACTTGGGGCATGACATAATGTAACATCTATATCTCTCTCTCTGAGAGCTTAAGGGAAAATGGACTGTACGTACCATTCAGATAACTTCTGCTTCCGAAGTTATGTTCTACCACTGTACCCCTCAGTGGGAAGGTCCAAGTGGGAAAGGATGTCTCAGTTTCTACCTTTGCTTTCTCTCTCATTCAGGCATCTCTGGAAAGAATTCAGTCCTCAAAGGTTGTGCTTCCCCATCTTGGTGCAACAGTCCCTATACCTCCGTCTATAAGAACCTGGGTAGCGTAGAAACCCACTGCTGTGTTGGTGATCTGTGCAACAGCTTGATCATTGATGGACAGCTAAGACCATCTCCAAGGAGCCGAGCCAGCCGCTTCATCTTGGCTCCACAAACTGTTATTTCAACGGGTCTCCTGCTTTTTGTGGTTTTTCTCCTCTCTTCAGAAAGCTCCTGATCTCCAAGAGGAAAATAGAGGCTTAATCCAGACCTGGACCAACTAGGACTTAGAACTGTGACCTTTTCTACTCTCCCCAATAATTAATGGAGCTGTGAATAAATATGTGATTACTGCTGGAGAGGCCCTGATTATGCCGAATGCACGACTCACACTATTAAAGAGTCACCCATCCCTACAAAACCAGGGGTGAAGGGACCAGTCTCGGGGACCAGAGAGCACAGGTTTCAAGCAGGCATGAGCCTCTAAACCTTCACCCACCATTTTTTTTTTAAATGGTCATTATCCAAACTATCCATCCTTACTTGAGAGTAAGTTTTGTTGACTAAATAAGATGACAGGCTTCCAGATCAATATGGATAGCTTGGTGGGAATTAACTTATGTTTTGTGAAAGAAGATTAGTGGCTAAGAAGGGTCACGCTTTGTGACATCTTGGATTTCTGCTGAACAGGAGGAATGTAAGTAAAGGCTGCTGAATTAAAGGTGCTGGACACCCATCCTGTGGTGAAAATCCTTTTTTTTTTAAATAGCCTGCTAAATAGAACACCAAGAAATTTCCCATTCCTGTTATTTATACCTTTTTGATACTATGAAGGACTCTTTTTAGCTGTTTCAACCAATGAAGGTTTAGCCCTGTGGCCTTTTAAAATTTGGATGGGGCACTGAAGAGCCACCCCTGCCTTGCCTACAAAGTTTGAATAGTTGTTGACATGGGGAATTTATGCAAGAAGCAGCTAATTTCCTCTTTCAGAAGTTTCTTAACAGTACGGAATGGTTTCTCCCTGTTACTTTATTATTTTATATATCTATTTAAGTTAATAAAGTATTTTTATAACATTCAAAATGTATTCTTGTGGCCTTAACTATATTTTGATGCAATTAACCCTACAAACAACTGCCCTTTCTGGATGGAAGGTAGGAAAGATATTTAGATGTCCATGGGAGTGAGTGAAGAAAATCCATTTGTTTTTTCCAAGAATCTCTACTCCACTGCTGTGGGTCATTGACATGTAATGTCTGAAGCACTAGAGGGCCTTGTTAGGACTATCATTCTGATCTCTGACAGTTTTCCTACTTCCACCAGATTAGCACACTCCAGTTTTATAAACCTCACTGAAAATTAAGGGATCCTGAGATGTCATTTTGACCAATCTTATAACACTACTTGTGCGTGTGTGCGTGCGTAAATGTTATCTCTAAAAATGGGATGGAATAAGAAAAACACTTACATAGGCTTATCCAACTTGGGTATCCTCCAGCTGTGAAAACTTCAACTCCCAGAATTCCCCAGCCAACATGGAATTCTGGAATTTGAAGTTGGTACCTCTGAAAGGTACCAAAGTTTTAGAAAGACTGCAGTTTTGATCTTTGGGCTTAAGAATCAGACTTGTTCTACCATAGTTATTTCTATGCTGCAAATGATTTGGTACTATATCAGAACAACCATGGGAAAAGATTTTGAGTATTCTTTCACCCAATATGTCATTTAACCACCACATGATATTACCACAGCACAAACTGTTAGAATGGGACAACTGTTAAAACTCCTTTTAGAGAACATGCTGAATTTTTTTGCAGCAACTTCCAGTCATTTTTTAAAAATAATTTTTGCAAAATGGACAAAAGAAGATAAGTTCAGAAGTTAGTGATCGCTGAAATACTTGACTGAGCGGAGTGATACATCACAGAAGCATTAAGACTGAGATTGATTTAAAGCTTTAGAAGGTGTACAGCTGAATTCTCAGCAGGTGTTTGGATGTGAAAGCTAAGTAAGGTCAGAATGGGTAAATGGTTGGATGGGAGACTTCCAGTGAATACTGTAGGTTAAACTGAGAAGTGGTGGCAGGGTGACAGTGCTCTCAGCTTGCACAGCAACCTTTAATGAATTATTCCAAAACCTAGCCCCTGCCTGTCATGAAATGTGCCACAGATTAGCACTTGGTAGAGCAGCCACAAAGGCCCTGGAAAAGATACTCAAATGCTATGATGCCAACAAAGTACAGAATTGCACAAGCCATGATATTCCCTGTGACACTCTACGGAAGCAAAAGCTGGACTTTGAAGAAGCAGGATAGGAGGAGTATTCACATTTTTTAACTTTGGTGTTGGAGAAGACTCCTGAGAATACCGTGGACAGCCAAGAAAAGAAACTTTGAACAAATCAACCCAGAGTTCTCACTCGAAGCACAAATGAACAGGTTCAAATTATCCTGCTTCAGACACATTATGCAAAGGCCCACCTCTCTGGAAAAGGTTCTAATGCTGGGAAAGGTGGAAGGAAAGAGAAGAAGACCACGACCAGCAGCAAGGTGGATGGATTCAGTTACAGTGGCAATGAATGCGCTGTTGGGAGACCTGAAAGACCAGGGTGGGACAGAGATGGTGGAGAAAATCTATGTGGTCGCTAGGAATCAGCAATAATTTGATGGCATGTAATCAATTAATCAACCTGCAACTTTCCACCACATGTTAAGCTGAGTCCAATACTAATCCTGGTCAGAGGTTTTTTTTTCCCCCCCAGCTTAACTTGTGCAAAAGCATTTCATTTCGTTTGCAATTTGATGAATGTTATACATCCAATTAATCCAATTAATTCAGTAACCAAGTTACACATGCTCTGCAAACCCACTAGTGTATGTATTTACTAAAAGAGAAAGAAATTCTCAAGAACCGATGTGCAGGTGAGTGCAGGAACATATACAATTTTTCAGCTACTTTCTGTAGTTGTTTTCCCTTTAAGATTCATGTTTACTCATGACCTTGTAAAGTTAGCCAATTTCTCAGTGTGACAGGAAATCTGTTTTCATTATCTAGTTCTGATCAGCTAATGTTACACAACCAACTGTCTAAAATCACAATCCTCTTCTTTTTACTTACCTTTCATCTGAACACTGGCTCTTGGCTCACAGCGAACAGTAGGAAAAGATCGTGGAAAATACCAGGCTGAGAAAAATGACTGTACCTTCTTTATTTCACGGATTTCTGGTGATCTGTCTCATTTCAGGTACCATTATATTACTATCTATCATTAGTTCCTGTAATACCTAAGTTGTTAATGTTTGGAAAAATATTTTTTTAGAAAAAGAGAATTCCTTTTCCGCTGAAAACTACTGTATTCTGTTAGGTTATCCTTTTAAAACACCACTGCGGGGTATGTATATTTATCTTTGAGGTTCATCTCTGCAAGAAATAAAAGGATCTGGACTAGAAATGTATCCCCAGGTCAACTGGATGCATTTTCATTTTTTCTTTACTTAGCCAACTGATGGAGCTACCCATTTCCCAATTGCAACATTGGGTGGCAAACTTGGATTAAAAACCCAAACAAAAGCAACAACAATTAATAATAAAGCAATGGGGTGGGAAAACAAACCCAACTCATCCATAAGAAAACGCAGAATTGCATCGATGGGCTGACCCCATTTCTGGAGTCCATGGCCAAGGGAATATCCAAGTCAGTGTTTCTCAACCTCAGCAACTTTAAGATGTGTGGACTTCAACTCCTAGAATTCTCCAGCCAGCCTGGAGTCGAAGTCCACACAGTTCTAGGAGTTGAAGTCCACACAGTTCTAGGAGTCGAAGTCCACACAGTTCTAGGAGTTGAAGTCCACACAGTTCTAGGAGTCGAAGTCCACACAGTTCTAGGAGTTGACGGCCACACAGTTCTAGGAGTCGAAGTCCACAC